CACAGTGACTACTCCTCATCTGCACAGCTCGTTCTGCCTGCAGAGCTATCAATGGATGGTCTCGTGACGTCTCTGTGCCCATTCACAAGTTCCCTGTCCTGATATAGAAAAAAAGATTTAAAGGGACAAGCAACAAAAAGGGGGGGGCATTTTTTGGGGGGATCCATATATTGTACAACATACCCAACACTGAAAATTAATATGACAATTTCATTTTGTATACTATGGGTTAATAAAGGCTCATACAATCATATCCAGGTATTTCTGTAATCCCTTCAGCCATCTGCGAGCCTAAAATACCTGTCCCTTTTCACCGTTCCTATGTTACAAGCTTAGCTTTAACCATCACAGCTCTAATTCATAACAATGAGCACCACAAATACTACCTTCATTAAATGAAATGGAGGGAATAGGTAAATACACTTCTGTCTCTTGAAAATGGTGGCTGATAACCTAGGTAGCTGGACTGGTTTCCAAGGGAACTGTAGCCTATGTCTCTGTGTGTCACAGCCCATATCAAACAATCCCCCCCCCCATCTACTACGCTGATTATTTTTTATTATTCAACAAAAAGAGCAGCATATAAAAATGACAATAATCACTGCTGTGTGTGTCTTGCTAGTGTTGTAGTCCACCTCTGTTATAACCTGCCCAGCCCACAGGACATCAAGGTCTCAAACTCTGTCATGTCATTGACTCCCAGACCTACATCATCAAACAACCAGACCCCCATCTGAGTTTCACCCTGTAAAGAGTTAGGCTCCTGCACTGGGACCTTTGATCAGAAGAGCCATTCATATTTATATTCAGTGCTAACTTCATATGAGTGAGGTCAGAAGCGCCTGGTGATCCTGTCTGAATGCCAAACATCTGCTTTAAGGAAACTGTCCCCCTTTCCTAAAGCATCACTTTCCCTTTGACACTACAACCACATTTCTGATTCTCGAGATGATGCTAGTATTGATCTCCTATAGCAAGAGTTTTATTTTTTGATAGGCTATACAATATTAGCTACTGTTAGGGATTACTATGCTTTTTTTGTTGCAGTCATTCATAAAATCAGCCTCATTGACTCCACAATCTGCATCCCTACAAGCTCGGTCTCACCTCCACTGAGGCATTTACACAAACACATCTGACAATGTGACCTTAGGCTAGGCCTGTATGTCACTATACAGATACACCGCCTCTAATATTGCTTATTCATATGCCCTTTCCTGTTACAGTCCACACTGCGCAACTCCCGAATTAATTAATGTTTTTTTTTTCTTCATATGGTCAGATATTCTAAATAACCCACACTGCGCTTTAAGACTAACCTCAGAAATAAATCCCCATTAAATAAACTCGCAGCCTCGGTTATCATCCCAAACAAAGATGATAAAATTGTGCATATCCTACCAGGAGGACAGAACAGTCCCTCCACCACCGAGACACTAGTCATGAGGCTCTGCTGCATTACACGTTATGTAACACACCGTCACTGACTCTTGAGCCTGTTTATATGGCTTCTCCGTGTTCATCGCATAACCAGCGTTTTAGGAAATAAAAACCAGTTCGGTTGCCTTGCAGGAAATGTGTCATTTCCCCTCTTACCGCAACATAAGGAAGTGCTGCTGCATGGGGCTGGTCGATGAAGGAGACAAAAGGCAGGGCTCCATCGGATGCGGTTTGCACCTGACGGCAGCTCGTGTTTAACTTCATCTTCAAGGCAAAGGTGAACGAGGCTTGAAATTAGACCGGAAGACCGCAGATGTTTCAGGAAAAGGTCCTCTGGATCAGTGCGATAAGTCCGATTGCATTGCCAAAAATACGAACGCTGATCTGAAGCCTGTCGGTGCGTTGCAGAGCTGCAGCTCTGACCGTCATAGAACCACCTCCACTTACTGTAAGGCCTCCGTAGCTAATAATAGGCAGGCGCACCGACGAAAAAACCCCCCCCATTCATTACAAAACACTGATCCACTTTAAAGTCGCACAAATCTCATTCCACAGCTCCTAAGCAGCCTAGATCGACTGGCCTCCAGTCGAGCCCATGTGTTTTTTGTTAGTTTTTTTTTTTTTACCTCTCCCTGAAAATAATCTGGATTGTATTTTGCACATTTTACAGTATGTTTATGTTGAGTGTGATTATAAATACATTATACAGCCCTCATGCATTCAGGCTGGGTTAAATAAAGCGTGCACAGTGTTGCACTAAAGATTTCAGCATGACTTATCTGCTCCCTTTAGCGTTAATTGATTGTTTTATCCAGGGGCGGGTCTACACGTTCACTTGGGACAGTTGGGACTCATCCAGTAGAGATTAACCTGTGCATGTGTGTATTTATCCTATACACACACACACACACACACATCGGTTGCATGTATGGCAGATGCATAGCAGGAATTCAATCAGATGGTTGGCAAAGATAATAATATGGTTTGTTTGGATCCATTGTATCATTCAAGAGCACTGTAAAAAGAAAAAATGCATGAGTCATCATAGCTGTGGAGCTTTATATAAATAATCTGCTGCTCTCTGGTACTAAATTAACCCCTTTTGCTCTTTTTAACTGCATCATGACGCTCTGATCTGTCACTACTGGTCAAGCCGAGCTCTTTAGCTATCATTTGACTGACTGGGTTTGGATAAAAGTGTTCAACAAACAAATGTGAAATTATATAGAAACATTGATCTATAGTTCTACATGAAAATATGATGAGCACAGATAATGGAAATCTGTAAATAATTGATCTGCTTGCTTTTACTCCAGAAAATTTAGTGCTGCCCTTTCATAAAACTAAGAGAGACTGATTTAAAAAAAAAAAGGTTAATATAGAAGTAGAGGCTAAGATATCTTGACTATTTAGGGGTGAATTCACAGAAATAATCTTTCCTATGCTTCCCATGATGCAACCAATGTTGGGCGCTCCCTCTTTGGTAAATGCCTGTAATCTATTGAACTACATGTCACCACTTTGTAATGTTTAACAGAGCATCTTTTATTATAGATTCAAAGCTATTACATGAAACACTATTTTTTGAATATGACCAACATCTAATTTCACTGTTTTGACTAATAATGCTGCTTTTTACTCCATATTTAAGACCAACATAGTAATTCAGACTGATTAAGTCACTACGAATCACTGTTTTTGTGATATGAAACATGTTCTCCATCACTGATGGATTTAAGGAGGGTCAACATGTTTAATAGATAAAAGTGACCTCTAGGGGGCCCTTCAAGTAGACAAAACATGGTAAAGATCCTAACCATTTCACCATAAATACATCACAACTTTCTGAACAGCAGTGGTTTTCCTTTTTGTTTCTTTCACCCTTGATCCTCAATCAGCCTTAGTTTGCCACTGTTTGTTTAGTAAACCTGAAAAGAACTCAAGAAGTCAATGCTACCTTACCATTGCTGAGCAGGTTGCTAAGTTACATCTACTCTGTGTGTATTAGTTTTATCATGGTTATTACCCATGAGCCAATATGATTATTAGTGTTAATGATTAGCAGAATGGCCGTTATATTTTGGTATTGCACTTTGGGGTAATGCAATTACTGGTGTGATAAATTACTTGCCATGTTTGGTTTGTGATGAATAAAACACAACTTACCACTCACAGGCACTGATAGCCATGGTGCACAGATGGTGGTTTCACTGGTAAATAGAGGCTGTTTTCACTTCTGTTCGATTCAATAGCTCTATCCTCACAGCCTCAGATGATGCAGTTATAGGAAAGGCCTTAAATCCACAATAAACGTAAACTCTCAAGAGTTGGTTTATCTTTTACCTCTGTCACTCTGGGTTGCTCTGAACTACGTCATTCACATTACACAGTCTAACAATACAATCCAGAGTTCACATCTTAACTTTGTTCCAGGACCGAGAGGATCAAAATACAGTTGACCTTTAGACTTAGAGAGAATTTTTAGACAGTGCCAAAGTTGCACTTCAGTTATTTAAGAACTAAGAACTTGCTACGCTGTTTAACACAAGCATCATTCTGTGAAAATGATGTTACAGGTTTTCTGATTTCTGTTTTATTGAATTACTTGTCTAAGTGGACACCACATGGCAGCTTTCCAAAATGATGTCAACCAGCTCACACAGTAAAATGCACTTTTGGTGTTGTTGTGAAAGGAGTGAGTGATATTGATTCACTCCTCACTTTTGTTTACCGCCTGTTTTACTGTAACTCCTGCAATATTCAGTCGGCTCCACCAGGTGAGGCTGACAGTCTAAATTTGCTTAATGCTCTCTTTAATACTGAGCCACAACATAAGCAGATATAAAAACAGAGCAAAGGGTGGAACAATGTGCTTCAAAACAAACATAAATGGAAACTGATTGCATTACATTGCACTGCAACACATATTACATAATAATACTGTAACATCTATGTAGCAGCTGTGTGTAACAGATAAAATACTAAAATAAAAATGAGACATAAATGAAACCCTGAATTTGGTGTCAGTATGTGGACAGAGAGGAGGACATAGGACTGGATGAGGAGGTAGAAATAACCTGTGGTATTTCTCTTTTACTTGTGTTCTTTTCTGCCAATTGTCACTGACTTATGTTGTACACAGTACTGTTTATACAAAGCAGTATGCAGCTTTTACCTACTGCAAAAGCAATTTAAGACTGATTAAGTTCTCCAAACTGTAATTATATTTTTATAAATGTTATATATTCATTCCACCTGATAATTTGTGAAATAAGAGTACAGTATTTCAAATACACAACATGGAAATGATCTACCTACCATAATATTCTTATAATGTACACATACTAGATTAATTCATGAGAAAATAAGAACAGCAGTTTAATTCAATGGGAGATTGAATTAAATGTATTAAATATAAAATGTTCATTTCTCATTTTGGATGCTTGTGGAAGTGTTGACTTGATAACTGTGGACATCCTCTATTTAATGATTCACAAAGCTAATCATAGGTACTGATTTGCCACACTTTACTTAGAATTGTGCAATAGCCGAAGTGAGGGATAAATGTTATGTAAGCAACTGTAAACATTATTGACAAAAGCTTCAAAGTGAACTCTGTGCCGGAGTCCAGACAGGTCGGGGTCTCTTGAACCATTCAGATAGTCAGAGGATTGTTGCTGTTTGTGGGTTTCTGTCACATTCTCTATGGCTGCTGCCGAATCGGACTGCAAAGCTCTTTTCTCTCTGGACTCCTACCATGTCTCTGAAGAGCTTGGCTTCATCCTCCCTGATCCTCTGGTAGGTGGAAAGCCCACTGGATAAGTTTCCTTCTTTACCTTTTTGCAGTTTTTAAATTTTAACGTTTACATACCACAAGCAGTCACAATGGAATATCTGATTGTCAGTAAACGTCAGTCTTGGAAAGGTACTATAAACGTGAATATAAGTGTAAAATTGCCATACTGAGTCATACGTATGCAGTCATTTAACTGAACCTAAACTCAATTCACATTAAATTAAAATGGTGCCTGTGGTTTAGCATTTATAAAATAAAGAACTAGACCAACTGGGAAGTTAAATTCTGGCATTGTTCCTGGTTGCTTTGTGTAATGAACTTTATTCCTAGAGCAGCATGTGTTTGCAAAATCACGTTTTGTTTAATCCTCTGTCAAGTCCATGGTCACTGTGCATGTAGTAATACATAAAACAATGATATGCAAATTTAGGAAAGGCCTTAAAATTAAAAGATTTTTCCATCATCTTGCACCTTCATATCTGTGCACTGTGTAGTTTCATCTCCATTTGCCATGGTGATCAATTTATGATCCAATTTGACTTTCAAAGGAAGAGCTTCCGCCTTACTACCAGCCATGGATGGATATTGCCCTGCGAGTCCCAGAGCTTGTGCACTCTCATGAACTCCGCTTCCGTATTAACAAGGTAAATGGGGACAATAAACTGTCAAGGACAATTCACTATGTTTATGGAGCCACGGTTCAGTGTTGATACTCTGATCTGTTCAGATGCCACTGCTGAGCAGCCAATTTCTGCAGAAACACCGGGAGTTACGGCTGGCACACCTTGCCCTCAGCGCGATGACCATGGGCTACACATGGCAGGAGGGAGAGAACAACACAGTTGAGGTATCTCTGTGTCTTCCACTTTTCATTTTTGTTATACTGACTTTTCCCTGATATCTGCAGCTCTATAGACAACAGTTTATATGAATGACTTTTCATTTTCAATAATTCTCCTTTAAGATGCTACCACATAACCTGGCTGTCCCGTACTGGGAGGTGTCACAGCGCTTAGGACTTCCCCCAATCCTCACCCATGCAGATGCAGTGCTGGCTAACTGGAGGAAGAAGGATCCGGAGGGGTAAGCCCAGTTGTCTTCTGCATGTGGTTTGGTAGCCTCGTAAACAAGTGTCAGGTATAAATTTATTCTCTTTCTTTTACATGTTCATCTTTCTGTCTCCTGTGCCAGGCCTTTTGACATGGAGTAAGTGCATCTCACATCACATCACATCACATCATATTGCACATCACTTGAATTCTCGTCCTCTACACATAATGTACCATAATATTACGATGTACGTATCCAGGCCATTGTTTTACTTGTGTAATGCAGGAACCTGGAGCTGCTGGTCAGCCTCCCAGGTGGAGATAGTGTCCGAGGTTTCTTTATGGTTACTCTGCTGGTGGAGCTGGCAGCAGTGCCTGCACTGAGGGTGAGCATATATTGAGCTAAGTTGTTGACTGAGAACTATACCTTTAAACGTCAATTAAATTAAGGAGATTTCATAAAAGCCATTGTAACTGGACCTGTGTTGCAGAACATTCCTACTGTGATCAATGGTGTCAGGTGTGGTGACACTGAGGCTGTGGCAAGAGCTCTAGAGGAGATCAGCCAGTCTATACAGGACATGACAGATGCACTCAAACTGATGCATGGTAATCATTCAGATATAACTTAATAAAACTATAAATATTCCCCATCAACAGTCAACATCAGTATTTTGATTCATGTGTTTTTTCTAAAGTGTACGTGGAGCCTTCAGTCTTTTATGGCATTATGAGGATCTACCTGTCTGGGTACAGAACTTTGTTTTCATTTGACTTATTAGAAATGTGCAGATAAAACATGTTTTTGAAATGTGTGTGTGTTTGTGTCCATGTACACACACATAGGTGGAAAGACAATACCTGTATGCCAAGGGGGCTGGTCTATGAAGGGGTCCAGACAGAGCCAATGGAGTATTCAGGTGGGAGTGCTGCACAAAGCAGCCTGCTGCACTGCTTTGATGAACTTCTGGGAGTCAAACATAAAGCAAGTAGTGGTAAGATGGCTGATCTTTTTTCAATTGATTGATTACAACAGCGCCAGAAAGCAAGGTGAAGGACTCATTGTGATGATATTGGCCTTATAGGTGCCTTTCTAACCCGCATGAGGAACTACATGCCACCTGCTCACAAAAAGCTGATCCAGGACATCTCATTGCAACCCTCCCTAAAGAGTTTTGTCCAGCAGCAGTCCAGTGCGCGGCTAACCCAGGCCTTTCAGCACTGTGTCACAAAACTGTTGGCTTTGCGCAGCTACCACATCAACATTGTCAGCCGCTATATCACTGTACCTGCTGCCCGCGCCCGACAACTTCGTGACCACAGCCAGGACTCAAAGGAGGAGATGATCAGTAGAGCACCCACAGCATTAGAGGAGAGGGGCACCGGTGGCTCTGGCATCATGACCTTCCTTAAGACTGTGAGGGACCAAACAAAAGACGCCTTCCTGCCTGAGACAAACAGCAAATGAAACACCACAGCTGATGTTAAGTGTCATCGCTCAAGATGCACAGAAAACTGTCAACTGCATCGCATAAACAGGCAGTAAATCACCTCTGACTACTTAACATACTATTTTATATGCCATTAAATGATGCCTTTTGGCAGAATGAGAGTGAGAGGCCTCCATTGCTTGTCTTACATGTAGCTTTGTTGTGTCCGTAAACAAACCTCAGCTTAATAGATGAGTGATACCCATCATTCAGTCCAAACCATAATTCAAACCATTGCTGTTACTCTCCATTAAATGCAACCACTAATTCCTTTTTTAATCTTAGTTGGAACTCAAAAAATGCATCAGAAATCTGCTCCAGACCAACGTATCTAAAGGACATTTGGACATTAGACAACTTTCATTACTAAACCCTACTTTTTGGAAAAGTGATTTTGAAATTCAGTTCAAATGTAGTTTAGATATAACAAAGAGGGTTTGTCTCCTGTAATTTGAAAGTGTAGCAGCTATTTTCCCCCCAGTTTTATCATAAAGGTTCTAAGTTAAAAGTAAAAATAATGACAGAGAAGTTTTCAGCTGTCAAAAAATTATCATTTGAAAAACTTAAATACTGCAATACCTAATGAAACCATGGCAGGGCACTAAAGGGCAGCATTATAAATCACACCAAAGAAGATTTCACAGGGTTTGAAACAATGGGCAATACCTGAGTGCACCAAAGGCACACAGGCTGATTTAGCCTAGTCACAAACAAAATTCACCTGATGTAATAATATATTCATCATTAATAATAGTCATTTGAAGAAGTGTGAAATCCACACTAGCTAAAATCCTCCTGACACACTTTTAAGCATCGACAGGTTGGAACCTGACCTTTTCCTCTAAAATAATCAGCCTTTGTTGCGTTTTCACCCTACAGTGTGTCCTCACAATGGGGTTGTCATGTTGAAGCACAATGCACAATGCAGTGCAGAGATGCATCACTTATCAGAGTGGTTACCTCAGCACTCCTGCCGTCCTCCTCCAGCCCACATCCAGCCCTCACATGCCCCACTATACTTCCTGGACTGACAGTGTGGAAACCCCAGAGCAATGAAGGGATGGATTGTGCCATGAATGGCTCAAGCTCTGTAATCTTCACCTTTCCTGGCTCGTCTCCACTGGTGTTTCATTACAATAGCAGCCTTGCAAAATCAGATAAGGCAGGCGATGTGGCAATTAGACATGACAATTCCCCCCAGCCTGAACGATCTACTTCATCATGCCCTCTTTCTTTTCACATGATGGGTAGCAGGGAAGACAATGGAAGAGCAAATGAGAGAGAAAAACAATTACACACGCAGGGTATCAAGATTTTAGTGTGAAAGACATTTGTTAAAAGCTTTTGGAGGGAAGCTTTAAGTCATTTTATTCTGATTGACATACAGCAAATACATAAAAAGTGCATAACCAAGAAGTCATTGGGTTGATTTAAACATGTTTCACACAACCTGTTTGTAAAACATGACAGAAAGACCCGAGGTGAGGAGGTGAAAGGTGAACAGTAACTACGCAAGGATGGAGAGAGTTGGGTGGCGAGGAGGACAAACAGTGTGTTCACATGTCACAGTCATTTGATTAGAGCCTTCTTCCACAGCCAAAGCAAATAATCCCCTTCCTTATAGCCTGACTGTGGAGGACTCCCTGACAACCCTGCAGTAAACACAGGCCATCTCTAAGGATGTCTTCATTGTGTAGTTGGGGCTGGGCCTGCTGAAGTTTCACCTCATATCACAACAGTGGCTGGTTTCAGTGTAGGACATGCTATTGAATCATTTGTGCTGTACTGACAATGCTGTGAGGTGTATTGCAAAATAAAAGGCGTCAGTTTCTGTCATGATTTGGAAATATTTTGGTTTAAATGTTCCTAAGATATCAAAGGTTCCGTACATGAGAACGAACTTGTCAAGCAAAGGCTATTGAGACTCAGCTCAGCAAAGATAATCACTGATTTTCCTTGTGGCAAAGGGCATCTGGAGTCACTTTTGTTTTCATGAAATCTACTCAAACATCCATATTCCATCTATCAGAGCCGACAGGATTACAGGCGTGGGTTCTCCTTTTGGTTAGACAATCGGATATCTTGCCTTGGTGGTTAACCACAGGATATCCTGGATTCTGTTATTACAAAATTGAATTTATGATGCTGCTGCTTACCTCAAGTCAAGCAAAGCCAGGACCTTTTCTCACCCTGCGAGTGAGCAGCCATGATGGCAGCAGCTCGGAATTGATTGTCTTTGGCGTGCACATGATGGGTGTAGCTGGGAATTATGGGCTGTACGGTACAGTAGGTGACTTTGGGCGTTTTACTACTTTCTACTCATCTGGACTTCACTTTCTTTGTCAAACACACCCACAGGTCAGATACATCTTCAAAAGTCATCTTCTGATCAGCCTGGACACACCCTCAGTTTAATTTGAGTCCTATATATACTAGCGATTGTCTGTCATCACTATTCTTTCACCAGCAATTCAAAATCTGTCTATAGAGGACAATAAAGTGTCTTTTTCTCATTATAATCAATATGTATATTCAAATATTCTATAGATATCGCGATACTGCGATGATATCATCATCATGAATTCTCTGGTCATGATAATCGTGTAGTAAAAATCTGATATTGTGACAGCCCTAATATAGAGAGACCATATATTCATGAGAAACTCTCAATTTGGCAATCTAACTAGTCATCACCATGATCCCCGACTTCACAGGATATCCATCTAGTGGTGTGAGAAAATCATTTAAAGAAAGATGTGAGAGTTCAACTCACGGGCAAGAGTTTCTTTACCTTTAGTATTCCCAGCAACTCTCCTAATGCCACAGTGGCCTTCACACTTCACACTGATGAATCATCCTTCCTATAGGACCTCCGCTTGGAAGGTTTCCATAGAAGCCTCACTAAACACAAGCAAATGTAGCCGACGTTCACTGTGTTGTGGCTTTCAGACTTCACTTTCCTGCCTACTAGTCACCGTTGCACAAGACATCAAGCTCATCTTTCACCTACCCCACCTTTCAAATCATTTTTTAACCCCAGCTCCTCTTTGAACATCACTTGTGCGGTCTGTAAGAGCAAGTTAAAGGCTTTTGATGTAGTCGTCTTACAGCAACTTTATCACTTCCTCTTCACTGACTCGACTGAAACGGCATGCCCACATGAAAAAAGAAAAGAAGCTGTCACAGCCAGCTTGAAAGGCTGCTTTTTCAGGTGTAGAATTACTGTTGTTGCCAGTGTTGATGATCCAGCCCAGATGACGTCACTGACAGGAAAGCACACGTCACATTGCAGCCTTTGTTCTTCCAGGGAAAAACTTGTGACACTTTGACCCCTGTGATCAAGATACATCATGCTGCGCTGTACGGCATAGCTTCCGGCTCTGCATCTGATGGATAGTTTTGTTCCATCCTTGCAGGCCTGTGAGTTACAGTGTTTAGCTGGATAAACGTATATTGTCCATGTGTTTGTTCAAATGGCTCTGTTGTGCCAGTTTTGATGATCACCTTAATGTCACCTGTGACATTTTCTGAGCCTACAAACATGCTAGTGTCTTGGTACAGTGGTGTAAATTAATTAATACAATTAATTAACTAAATAAAAGTTTTATCCTTCTGAGAATATAATTAGTTTTTTGTGCTTCTTCTTCTTCTTCTTCTTGAAAAACTGCCCTGCAATACACTCAAAGTGTAGTCACCTCTATCTTATTGACCTGTCCCCATTTCACTCATGTTTTGGGGAAAAATTTGGCTTTCTTTTAAATAAATGCGCTTATGCAATAGAACTTTTAAATCTCCTGTCTTTTTGTAATATATACTGTGAAATATGCTTTGACAAGGTTAATGAAACAAAGAAATGTGGCCACCACAAACTGTAACACCAGTGATCTGCTTCATGCTTTCATTGTCTTTTTGCTTTGTAGTGGCTGTTGGCCAGACAGTGAATTCAAGGGCAATATATATTTTAACACATTATCAAAAACTGTGAAAGACTCCAGATTTTATACACTGCCAGTCTTATCTTTCTTAAGCTCGGACTGTGACTTGTAGAAAGTAATGAACAGAGAAGTTAAAAAGAAGTTAGCAGGGATGTTAAAAGTATTCATGAGTATGACTCTGACTCATAATTATTTAAGAATGTAGATTATTAGTCAACTTGAATTACTGAAATACAAACAACAGCAGATCATTTTGGAAGTACAAACTTCTGGTAATTTTCTGATTTCCTGAGTGCTGTGGGTCTCTCTGTTTCCCAGATATCATCACAAACACAACACCATAAACTCTGTAGTTAAGTCCTCTGCTTGCTCCACTATAAATTCCCCCTCAATCAGCTGTGAGCAGTTTAAAGACTAACAAAACTGACAACATTAGGTCAAATATTTTGCACCCTATGAAAGATTTCTCACTGGCTATTGAGGACTCCTACTTTTAATAATTTCCGCCCAGTCTCTTCCCCCGCTGACTGGACACAAAAGGATAGGCATGGAGCCCACTAACTATCAGCTTGATATAATTCCAACAAAGCTCCTAAAGCAATCATTTAGAGAAGTTGGTCCAAGCTGACGATTTTTAACAATTCTCCAGCCACAGGTACAGTCCCCTCTTGCGTTAAGCATGAGATAGTTCAGCAGCTACTTAAGAAGCCTCTGTGCTGTGGTGTTCCAGAGACAGCTCCCCTAGAATGACAAATGACCTCCTCCGTGCTGCAGATGCCAGTAAATCTTATCCCTCTTAATTCGTCTAGATCTCAGGGCAGCATTTGACACAGTCAACCACACGATTCTCATTGAGCTCTTGACACACTGCATTTCTGGGTCCACCCTTCGTAGATTTCATTCTTACATCTCAAACAGACGTTTTACTGTTTGCATTGGCAGCTCATCCTCCACACATGTACCTCCTGTGGGGTACCGCAGGGTTCAGTTTTAGGCCCATTTCTTTTCACTGCTACTCAAAATTGGTCCGATGTAACTTGAATACAAAACTGTCTCCAAGATATTAAAAGACTGGTTGGTTCATCATTTCTTTTAGTTAAATGAGAACAAGACGGAGATCCTACTCTTTGGCCTCTTTGGTCTGCTGAAGCTTTC